GACTCAGTCAAACGTGGTATTCTTTCTATCAAGAATACCACTAACTCCAACACTAGTGTCAACTTGAAAAGGGAAGACAGTGCTTACCTATGCCCATATGCCTGCCCTTCCGGCGAGCCAAGGTATTTTTCCGGCATCGAGCCCGGGAATGGACAGTCACTGGTTTTCGGATGATCAGCCCATCTTTGATCAGTTTCCGGATCTGCTGACCTGGGAAAGCACAAAGCACCTGGTTAGTGGGGGTGTGGGGATGGCAGTGGAGGGAGAACACTACTCAGATTACTGGCTCAGTTGTTTCAAAATAGTGGAAATACTGGGTCATCTATTTTTTTCTTTTTTGGCAGTACTGGGGATTGAATCCAAGGTCTCATGCGTGCTAGGCTACCACTGTGCCTTACACCCCAGTTTTTAATTTTTTTTGGGGGGGTACCAGGGATTGAACCCAGAATATACAGTAAATAATTATCAGGGATTAAACTCACTTAATGACATCCCCAACATCCCCCTCAACTTTTTTAAGAGCCTGGCTAACTTGTTGGGGCTGCCCTCAAATCTGTGCTCCTCCTGCCTCAGCCTCTTAAGTCACTGGCATTACAGGTGTGTGCCACTGCACCAAGTATTTCTTACTCTTTAAAAACATTTCTACCTTTTAAATGTTCCAAAGCAAACTAAAACATCCTACCATTGAGCCACAACCCCAGCCCTGTATGTGTACTTTTTTTATCTCTCTAATCCTCAATGCCAGTATCAGAGTACTACTGCTTCCTTTTCAGAAACCTACAGGTATATAAAACAGACTATCCACTTCAATAATAGTTTATTAAAGTAACATTAGATGATTCCACTAACTTCCTTCAGGTTCAGGCAAATGGCATTAAGGGGACCCTCTGTTTTTTTTTATTTTAGTTGCAGTTGGACATAATACCTTATCAAACCCCAGCGCCTTGCACATACTAGGCGAGTGCTCTACCACTGAGCCACAACTCCAGCCCTCCACATTTTTTTTAAAGAGAGAATATTAATATTTATTTTAGTTTTTTTGGCGGACACAATATCTTTGTTGGTATGTGGTGCCGAGGATGAGGATCGAACGCATGCCAGGCGAGCACACTACCGCTTGAGCCACATCCCCAGCCCTCCACATTTTTGAGTCCTTCATTTTACAAGTCTCCTGGATCATGAGCTTTCCTAGGACTATAAAGGGTTAACATTCATCTGATGCAGGACAAGGGAAAGGGGTGGAAAAGGGAAAGAGATCCCAAGTACTCACGAGAGTTGGCATTGGCGATTTCATTGGTCTCATTGGGGTCCAACCAGACCTTCTTTTTGCCACAGCGGAGGACACTGGAGGCAAGCCTCTTCTGAAGCCTGAGCATACTAGAACATATAATAAACCATTATCAGGCTATGGTAGCCATTCCTAAGTAAAAATGAGAATCCCAAGACCTGCCCTCCAAGGTTTTTTTAACATCATAAAATACAACATACAAGAAAGTAGATAATACTATTAAGGGCAAACACAACTGGAACCTTCAAGACTCTGCCCCCACATATGCTCCAAATAAGATTTGGTAATGTTCTCTTTACCAAATCAAGATCTGTGTTAAAGCCCTGCGTGGTTCAAGTGGCCACCCCAGGAGAAAATTTAAGTCCAAACTAAGACTTAACCTCTCTGTGCCTCAGTTTTCCCTGCGACTGTTAACAACCAACCTGGGATGAAGTTGGAGCTTAAGCCTCTCTGGTATTTATGTGTAAAAAGTATTTGAAGTGGGCTGGGGTGATGGCTCAATGGTAGAGCACTTGCCTAGCACGCGTGAAGCACTGGGTTCGATTCTCAGCCCCACGTTAAAAAAAAATAAAATAAAATAATTTTTAAAAAGTATTTGGGGCTGGGGTTGTGGCTCAGTGGTAGAGCGCTTGCCTAGCACGTGTGAGGCACTGGATTCTCGGGACCGCATATAAACAAATGAATAAAGTAAAGATCCATCAACATCTAAAAAAAATTAAATTAAAAAAAAAGTATTTGAAGTATCTGGGGCCAAGTGGACGTGTCTGTGACGCAGACTGCGTATCTAGGAATGGTGACATACATTTTTGCTTTCTGTGCTCATTCCCTATATTTATCAGTTAATAAGCTCATTCAGCCACCCTCAGAGGTTTCTCTTCAAGCAGCCAACTGGGCGAGAAGCATCAAGGAGCATCGCCTCACTCCGAGGAGTAGGAGGCCTAGGGCTTGCCCAAGGCTTGTCCCACGTCACGTGGTGGCAGGGATCTTGCCGGTGCGCCCAGCAACGGGGGTCACTGCCTAGGTACCTCGGCTGCCCTAGCCATATCCGTGTAAGTCGCCACACACTTGGGGCCTTGCGCCGGCGGGACTGCCCTTTCCCGGTCTCTTCCCAAGACGCTCCCCAACCCCCATCCTCTAGGGACCGCGGCCTAGTGCGCTCCGATCCACCCCTAGCTCCAGGACCTGTAGCTTCAGAGCTGCCTCCATCTCCTCTTCCCCACCTGGGGCCGCAGTACCGAGCACCGGGGACCCGAGTCAAACCAAATCAGCCCAAATCCAAGACCTACGCGCCCTCACCTCATGGCTGCGGCCGCAGCAGCGAAAGGAAAGAACTCGCCCAGGCCTGGTTTATCCCATTATCTGTGCAGGGGAGAGCCCAAACCCCACTCCCTTTTTGTTCGCATTCCTGTCCAGTCACTTTATCTTATATCACCCCAAACCCACTTATATCCCTCATAAAGGCCCTGAATAATAGAATTGTAATATCAAGAATCAGTTTTAAGCTTAAAAATATACATAATATACACCTTCCGTGGGGAAAAGTGGTACAGTCCAACTTCCTAGTAAACATGCGCAGTAAGAGTTTAGATCACGTGAGTGATAAGTGGCCGGAAGTCATGCTGGGCGTGCGGCCGGAGGTTGGGGGCATTTAAGGGGTTTTTGGCTCTGGTAATGTTCTCTTTACAGGAGTCTAGGATTCTGTGGAAGGATATTTTAATAGAAGAGGGAAAATTAAGAAAGAAGCTAGAGATAATAGTTACGACAGACGTCAAAGACAGTTTCTTATCTTTTTTCCCCTGCGCAGAATAGATGACCAAAAGACGTTAGTTTAATGTTTTTACGGCACTGCGGGTCCTTTATCTCTGGGTGCCTCAATTTCTTCCTCAGTAAGATGGACCATATCCTCATATTTCTGTTGTCCAGTTGTGAATTCACGGCAGGTCCAGTTTGCAAAGGAAGACATTAAGACAGCAAGTTCTTTAAGGGCGGGAAGGAGACTTGTTTGGTGCACACTGTATATACTGCAACAGGCACAGAGCCTCGCAAGTAGTGCACACCTGAGAAATACTGCGTTGGTTGAGTGAATGATTGCCAAATGTGTTTGAAGGTGTCCAGTGGCTCTGGACACCTTAAGTAAAAAACTGAGAAGAGTGTTCTGGCGTTCAAGAATCTTAAGTCTTCATTCTGGCTCCCAACTCTTTTGCTTGGTTCAAGTTGATCACTTTTTCGTCTGAACTTTACCTGGCTGCTAAATACAGAGAAGCTCAAAAAGAGAGATAAACCCAACATTATGCTACTGCGTCACAACACACATTTTTTTTCATCATTTTATAGCCAAGGTAACAGATTTAAAACACAAGTTCTGATTGCAAAGCCTATGTCTTCCTGACATGCCAGGGTCTCTTGTTCCCAGTGGGCAGATAGAATCCTGCCTAGGGTTGGAGCTGTGCATAGAACAATAATACTACTGGTCTACATTCTCATTTACTTTTCTCCCCTTACCTGAGGTGATGTGATCAGAGAAATAACTGGCCATTCATTTGTTATTCAGGGTAAGGAAAATTCAGCATATTCCACAGCCTTCCCTCTATCAGAAAACTCAAAGCTAGTCTTATTTTAGGGACTCTTGACCTAGGCAAATACAGTCTACTTCTCAACCCTCCTCTTTGTGGAACAGGAGAAGGCGTGGAGTGGGAAGAAATGGGTCTTCCTGACATGACTGGCCCTGTTTTGCACCTTAACAGCATCTCCAGATACCCAATAATCCCAGGAGACAAAGCCCCACAGTATCAGAAACCTCATTTTATAAGAATGGAAACAGGCTCAGAGATGTGTAGTGGTTTGTTCTGGGCCACATAACCAGAAAGAGCCTGAACCAAACTGGCACTGAAGTGTCAGAATCCCCTACTCCTCTCCACCAATGATGATGGGTGGAGTCCAGGCCTTGGATATTTATTTCCAGATCAAGGATAAAGGGAGAGCAACTCTAGGTCAAAGGTCACAAGGTCTGATTTGGGCCAGGCTCTCCTTGCTCATCTCTATTTCTTTCTCCTCTTTCCTTTCTCTTGTAGGGAACAGAGAGTTCACAAGCCTCATTTCTGGCCTTCTAGAAAAGCCTGGGAGATCCTAGGGACTGATTGGGGCAGAATATTCGTCGGTACTTGGGATTTCTTTTTGTTGTCTCTTTTTCCCTGATCCCATTCTGCTACCAACATTCCCGAGCCAGGTGGAAGAGGGAAGAGCCACTTCATTTGGTTCCAGGCGTTCTGGGCCCCATACTGGGGAGAAAGGTGTTAAAGTCAGGTCCCCAGATCACCGGGACCGGGAACTTCCGGTGGCCCAAGCAGTAGAGGCTAGGGGAGACCCGTTGGAAGAATAGTTCCATACAGAAAGGGAGGCGCTGCCAGCCATGCCAACCTGGGCTTCACTCCCGTTAACGTTTGGCAAACAATGGTAACCCCTCCATCTCCGCCACATACACACCTCCCACCCTCAAGGCCTGTTCCCCCTCGCCCCCAGTGAGCGGCCCTTTAGAATGCAGAGGGCTGCCACCAGTCGAAGGACTGCTATCGACCTCGACAGTGTGGAGGGCTCGCCCCCTCCGCTGCCCTCCCATTGTCTGAGTGGAGCTAGCGGAGCGGCTCCGAGGGGCGGGGCCGGAGGGCGGAGGGAGGGAGCCATGGAGGAGGGGGGGAGCAGAGGGGGCGGGGGGAGATGCTGAGCCTTCAGGGGCGGAGGCGGCGGCGGCGGCGGCGGCGGCGGCTGCTGAGGTAGAGGAGAGAGCCCGAGCAGGGAGCGAGGCTAGGCATCGAGCGGGCAGCCGAAGGCCGGGCTGGGCGGCTGGACCCGGTTCTGGCTGCGCTGCGCTGCGCTGCTCTCCCCTCGGCTCCGACGGCCTCTCCCATGCACTGAGGGCGCCCGGCTGGGCCGGGCCGGCGGCCGGAGGGGAGGCTACTCTCCATGGTCCAGAAGAGCAGCATGTCCCGGGGCCCTTACCCACCCTCCCAGGAGATTCCCATGGAGGTCTTCGATCCCAGCCCACAGGTGAGGCGTGGTGCCGGCCCGAGAGAAGAGGGCCGCTACGCGGACCTTGGGGTCGCCTAGAGGGACCATGGAAGGAAAGGGTTATATGCCCGGCGCCGAGGGGAGAGGGGTGCTCGCCCCCCGCCATTCTTGCGGGTTAATGATTGGCCCGGAGTTGGGCTGTGGTGCTGGGAGGGTGCTGGTGGGCTGCCTGTCACCCTCGCCTCCTCTCCCCCGCGTCACGGTCCCTGCTGCTCGGGAACCGGCTCCAGTGGCTGAGGTGGGGGGTGTTGTTTGGGGGATCTGGGCCTTGAGAAGGGGAGGTTGAGGGAGGCTAGAGATCGACCAGGCAAGGGGGGCGACGCGGAGCACGTTTGGGGAAGCCGGGCGGGGGTGGCACTGGGAGATGGCCGAGGCAGTGGTCAGAGGGCGGTGCCAACAGGCCTTCCAAGCCTCAGACCCTGGTCCTCGAGGGTGTAGAAGGGGCCATTCCTGACCCAAGGACCCCTCCAGCCACCTCACTCCGTCCTTGTACTGGACCAGTTCCCCTCTCCCGGACACCCACGTTGGCTTACCCCTCCCCCGCAGCCCCGAAAATGCCTCCAAAGTTTGGAAAGTTGGAAGGATGCCAACTCACTGTCCTGGAGGGGAGGTAGCTGTTTTAACTGGAGGAGGGGGTCTGTTGCCCCATGCACTCGCACACTTTCCCATGCCCCTGTGCTACTCCTAGATTCCCATAGAGTGACCAGCACAGTCTGGGGTGGTCCTGCCAGGGCATTTCTCTAGGACACGTCCTTCCCCAAGGATGGCATTAACTCTTGTATTGCTGTGGCCAACCTGGAGCAACTGTAACCACCATGGAACTGTGGTTGATGGGTGTGTAGGGGGGTCAGGTCAGACCTAAAAATACCTCTGTTCTCCACCCCAGGCCCCTTGGAGCCTGGGAGGCAGCTGACTAGGGCCTTCCTATCAGCTGTCCCCTGTCCCTCTGAGCGCCACTCCCTTTGCCCAGCCTGAGATGGTGGTGGTAGTGTGAAAGTCTGGGATTCACTGCAGAATCTTCTTAGGTTTGTATGGAACTGCAAAACTACTTTGGGTATATGTCCAGTTTGAAAGAAGAGGAGGGGAGGGAAGACCCCGGAAGGGCTTCCCAGGGTCCTTTCCCATCATCCATCCTTCTTGTACCAAGATCCACAGAGCCAGAGCATGGAGTCTGTCTTGGCTCATCTAGGTTCTTTGGCTTAAGAAAGTCTGGGGGCTGAGGTTATAGCTCAGTGGTAGAGCTCTTGCCTAGCATGCGTGAGGCACTGGGTTCAATCCTCAGCACCACATAAAAATAAATGAAGGTATTGTGTCTATCTACAACTAAAAAAAAAATTTTTTTAAAAAGAAAGTTTGGATAGAATCTAGGGGCAGCAGCTTGGAGATCTGAGCCCTCCATCCTGCCCATTCTGGATTGGACTGGGGCCAAGCATTTATGTTGCATTGGGAGGGTAAAGAAGCAACTCCCTCTTAGGAGACTGAAGACACCTGAAGCTTTAACCTGAATGTGTGGCCCCCTGACTAGGAGGTGCACCCCACTCAGGCTACCAGCTCAGTCAATGAAGCCACCAGCCTACTACCCCTGGGACCTGTGGGACTGTGTCCTAGGCTTGCCTTGGGGAAGGACCAAGGGGCCTTTAGATTGATGTAGTCAGGTTGCTACCAAGGGTATGGGGCATGGGCAGTGGCAGCTGGAGGGTAGAGTGGATCCCTCTTGCCCCTTTGGGTAGGGGTGTGGCCACTGATTGTGAGGGGGGTGGGCTGAGAAAAAGACCCCCCAGGGCAGAGGGGGAATGGGGAGCAACACTGACTCCCATGAAGGCATGCCACAGTTGGGTTTGGATGTTTAAAAATATGGTTCCATGCTTCTTCCCCCTTCCCCAGAAATCTAGCTCTGGGTCTCTAGGAGCTCAGAGACGCCATCTCCTCCCTACTCTGGGAAAGGAAGAGTTGGGCTTAAGGGAGAAGCCCTGCTGGGCCCTGGGTTAGTGATCCCTCCTCTCTCTGGAGGCCTTTGGCACTCTCAGACCCCTCAGCTCCAGCTGAGGGGGTGTGGGAAGGAACTTCCCTAGTTCTCTCCGCCCCCCAGCATTGCAGGCAGCCTCTCCCTTCCCTGGAGTCCTCTGCAGCCTGCCCAGCATCTTAATTAGCTTTGCTGCCTAATGAACCTCCCGCTTTTCAGGCCTCCCATTCCCCAGCCTCTACGTTGGTTTGGGGGGTTTCTGTGTGTGCCCCTAGGCTCCTTGCACTGTTCCCTAGGAGTGACTGCGGTCTGGGCTCTCTCAGTGGGATGGGAGACCTTCTCTCCCCTCGGGCTGTACCACCTCCAGAAGATGATACAGGGGAATGGGGGTGGGGCTGTGCGGATCAGAGAACAATATTCCCAAGACTTGGCAGTAGCTCTGGATCTGGTGGTTTGAGGGTTGGGAAAGGTCCTTTATGATTCCACTCTTGTTCCTTCCTGGCCTCTCCAGGGCAAATACAGCAAGAGGAAAGGACGGTTCAAACGGTCTGATGGGAGCACTTCCTCAGATACAACATCCAACAGCTTTGTCCGGCAGGTAATGGGGAGGCTGGGCTGAGAGGAGGGAGGTGGCTAACTGGTGGAGGCCAGCATTGGTGAGCTGGTCTGCGGCTTTCTCTAGGCACCCTTCCCCGTGTCGTTTGTCACCTGCCTGGAACTAGCCCAACACCCTGACTCCCCATGACCTCTCCTGGATATGCTGGCAGCTGCACCCACTGCTTCAGCCCACGCCCCCGCCCCGCCCCTCCCCCAGCACCAAGCACCAGCCCCTGCTGCCTGCCTGCGTCATCTCATTCAGGGACAGCCTGGCCTGCCTCCTTCTAGCTTGCTTCGGGCTGTCACCCACTCCCCCTGCCGGCTGTCTGCTTCCATGTCCTCCCCCAGAATCTGTGACAGGGTGGGGTGGAGGCAGGTGCTAGAAAATGAGGAGCTAGGGCAGTTGGGTCCTTGAAGCCTTGTTTAAGTGGGGGTCAGAGAAACAAGCTCCCCACATCCAAACGTGGCTCACTTTAATATTCAGAGAGAAAGTGTGATGGGGATAGGCAGGAGGTGTTTGATTTTAGAGAGGATGTGGCCCAGCACCTGTGACAGAAGGGGGATAACTGAGAAGAGCTTGCTGGGTCTGCTGTGCTTGGCCAGGAAGCTGACACTCTCCTCTTTTCTAATTCTCAACCCGGGCCATCTTAGGCTCAGGGAGAGGCAGTGAGGGAGACATGTGGTTGCTATGACTACTGAGTATTTCAACAAAGCCTGGTACCCAAAAAAGGCGAGAGGGGCTTGGAATCAGACAAGGGAAGGAGTGTGTTAAAGAGAAAACAGGTAGGGCATGTGAGGGCAGAGGGCTGCAGGGAGGAGTTCCTTGGAGGTAGTCTGCTTGGGGCCGGGAACAAGAGGATAGTGGCAAGCAGATTTACCACAGACTGGAGTAGACTCTTTTTTATTCTTCCATCTCTACCCTTGATGTATATGAGCCCAGGCCTGATTTGAGCGATTCAGAAGGGAGGCCTTTATCCAAGCATCTCCTAAGTACACATATGGAAAGTCCTTTTTTCAGTTGCTCCTTCATCCCTCCTGTTGCAGAATTGGGCCAGGGTCAGGACCAGGGTCAGGACTGGAAAGAATGATTCTGTGCTTTTGTTGCCTCTCTTGGCAGACGAGAGCTTAGTTCTTTCAGTATTTAGTTAACCAAAGGGGTCAGACCCCAGCTTCCAATACTTCCTCCTCTCAGCTCCCAGCTCTGACCCCCAGTAGGTGGCGGGAGTGGGGGGGCAGTCCTTGCCACATCTCTGAGCTAAATATACCCTAGCAGTTTGCACATGTAGCAACTCTGCTTGTAACCTGAGCACCCTGGGGGGACGGGCACTTTGGGCCACCCCTTAAGCCAGTGGGGCCGGGCACTGAGGGTGCCGGGATGGAGGCGCCCAACCGGACCCTTGTGGTGGTGAGCTGGGATGGGGTGAGGTAGTGGGTGGGTAGAACAGCCCTTTAGGAAACCTGGTAGGGGGCCTCTGGGCCAGTCTGTCTCCTCGCCTCCTCACTATTTACTGTCTCCCACCATTTCTGGGGTGTGTGTATGTGTGTGTGTGTTTGTGTCAGTGTTTGTGTCTGCAGGTGCCTTGAGGTCAGTGAGTACCTCTCTGACCGTCCCATCTGCTTCTGTTTCTCTGCCTCTCTGAGTGTCTGTCTTCTTCACCGAGTGCTCCCATCGGGAGGGATGGAATGGTGGCTAAGCCGCTTTTCCCTCTCTCTGGTTTGTGTCTCTTTCCCAGCTGCTGTTTAGTGACTCTCCATCCCCAGGCAAATCTCCCATTTTCATGATTTGACTGGGAAAGGGGTGGGCACCTGTACCCCCTATGATGAGGGATTTCTGAGGAGATATAGGACTTTGTCTTCATTCTTTCCTGGGTCCCCTCCATTCCATGCTAACAGACATTCCCAGCCAAGTGACCTTTCATGCCCTCGGGAAAAGTCCCTCATATCTCTGCAATCTTGCTCTTTCACATTCTCTCCCACTCTGTCAGCACCATTCCGAAAGTCACACACAGATCTGTAGTCCTGTCTCCTGTCCTCACATGACTCCCATCTTCAGGGACCCAGACCTAGGGTGGCTCCCTGGGTGCACTTGGTTGTGCATTGCCAGCACGTGCCATAGAATACACCTTCCCAAACATTCTTGCCCTCGCACTTCCGGTGTACTCATGAATCAGCATGTTCATGATCTGTGCTGCTAGGTCTGTATGGGCTACCTGTGTCTCACATATATGTGTGCACCCCTAGAGGAGTCCCTTGTGCCCTGGATTGGTCATTGTGGTCAGAGCCAGCTTCCTGGCACACCCAGACTTCTGAGCCTGCCTTAACCCTGGAGCCTGGATAAGAAAGTGCCTGTTCCATATTCTGCTCTTAACTTGCTGCTTCTGCCTGTGCCACCCCAGAAATCTTGCGTTCTCTTCTGTATCTTATGGGAGGTGGAGGGTCAGCTTTGAGTGGGGTGGCCTGATTCAGGCAGTCCCAACTAGGGCCAGGAGGTAGGAGTTCTGTCCTCACCTACTCTTTAGCAGAAGGTAGGCAAAATATTGTTGACCCCATCACGCTGAGCAGGCTGCCCACTGGCAGCAGTGCAGAGAGCCAGGCCTTAGCTGGTGGCTGCAGTCCCTGGGAGGAACGCCACTGGGCTTCTGCTGATTCTTCTCAGCAGTGATGCTGGGGGCAGGGCAGGAAAGGAGGAGCAGGGAGTGGAGACTCATCCCCTGGCATTTCTCCCCTGTGCTGTGCCCCTATCAGGTTCCCACCCCTCCCAGGACTCCAAGCAGCTGTCCTTAGACATGCCTTAACCCTCTGCTTGCTGCTGTCACTCTTCCTAGGGCTTATAAACCTTGGCCCCACCCCTCCACCCTCATACTACCTTCTAGGTTTGTGGCATCATACTGGGCCTCAGACCTCCATGATGGGTGGCACCTTCAGCCCTTCCCGAGCCCAAGGGCTAGGAGAGAGAGCATTGGCCCTGAGCCGGCCCTGTCTGCTTTCAGGGCTCAGCAGAGTCCTATACTAGCCGCCCGTCAGACTCTGACGTGTCTCTGGAAGAGGACCGGGAAGCCTTGAGGAAGGAGGCAGAGCGCCAGGCGTTAGCTCAGCTTGAGAAAGCCAAGGTGAGAAAAGATGCGGGAAGGAACTGTGCTGACATGATTTCTCCACACCCCCCTCAGAGAGAGAGCTGGACAGACCCCGGGTCAAATCTTAGCCTGGTCCCTGCCAGCTGTGTGTCCTGGGACCTCAACATACCTCTGTTCTTCCCCTGTAAAATGTAGGCTATAATACCTGCCTCCTTACACAGTAGGAGAAGTGCCTGATAATGTTTCCACAGGATAGGAGCTTGACAAGTGCTGAAAATGTCTGCTTCTCCTGGGCGGGGTGGCTCACACATGTAATCCTAGCAACTTAGAAGTCTGAGGCAGGTGAATTGCAAATTCAAAGCCAGCCTCAGCAGCTTAGTGTGACCCTTCCTTTAAAAAAAAAAAAAAAAGAGGGGGTATAGGACTGGGGATGTAGCTCACTGATAGAGAGCATCTTTGGGTTTGATTTCCAGTACCACGAATGAATGAATGAATGAATGGAAAAGAAAAATATCTACTTCCTGGAATCAAACTTCCTGAACTGGAATCTCAGCCCTGATTTTTTTTTTTTTTTTTTTTTTTTTTGGTACTGGAGATTTAACCTAGAGGCACTTTGCCACTAAACTACATCTCCAGTGCTTTTTATTTTGTATTTTAAGACAGAGAATCACTAAGTCACAGAGACTGACCTCAAACTTGTGATCCTTCTGCATCAGCTTCCCAAGTGGCTGGGATAACAGATGTGCATCACTGTACCCAGCTTCTTCCCTGACTCTTAATTGCTGTGCATATTAAGCAAGCCACTTCTTTTCTGATTTTCAATTTCCTTTATTCATTAAAATAAAGATAGTTCTTTTTGCCGTATTTCGTTGCTGCCATAATGGTGCATGTGAATGTCCTGGCCATTGCTCTTGGGAGCATCAACAATGTCGGAAAGAAGGAAATGCTAGATTCTTATTAGGTCCTGCTTCAAGGTCATCTTCTGATTCCTAACCATGGTGATGAAGTAAGTGTGGTTATATTGGAGATTTAAAATTATTGATGACCATGGAACTAGGAAGACTGCGAACCCCCCCCACCACCCCAAGGCAGGTTAAACAGATGTGGAGTGGTTGGCCTCAGATTCAGTGTATGGCTCAAAGATCTAGAAAGTGGCACAGTGGTGTGTGTCTATAGTCCTAGCTATTCAGGAGGCTGAGGCTGAAGATCATTTGAGCTCAGGAGTTATAGGCTAGCCTGGGCAACATTGCAGAACTGTCTCAAAAAGAGAAGAGAGGAAAGGAGAACAATGGCAGCACAATCTGCTTTCATCAGTTTGATTTCGTTGTTCTGATAACCTCAGCTGATATCCTGGACCACAAAGGCAAAAACACATAGGAGGGATTCTTTTTCTAGGGATGAAATACATACATATAAAAATAAGTTAATTAAATGAAGATAATAACGATAATTCATAGGAATTTTGTGATGAGTAAATGAAATAATGCATGTGAAACCTATAACAGTACCAGGCACACTAAGCAGTAGTGACTGTCATTATTACTATTTTTTTAATAAGTAAGTCACTGAGCCTAGCCTTAGTTTGCCTTTTTTTTAAAACATATTTTTTTTTTTTTAGTTGTAGGTGGACACAATACCTTTATTTTATTTATGCATATGTGGTACTGAGGATCAAATCCAGCCCCTCACACACATTAGGCGGGCGCTCTACCGCTGAGCCACAACCCCAGTCCCTCATTATTACTATTATTATTATTATTTGATGGTTTGGGGGATTAAATCCAGGGACACTTTACCACTGAGCTACAATCTCAGCCCTATTTATTTTTTCTTTTGAAACAGGGTCTTGCTAAGTTGCCAAGGCAGGCCTTGAATCTGCCATCCTCCTGCTGAGTTGCTGGGATTGCAGGCCTTGCCTTTCTTTTTTTATTGTAAAAGTTAGCATACATTTATAAATTATCCACCATATATATATAATCTTTTTTTTCTTAGTTGTAAAGAGAAACACAATATATTTGTTTTATTTATTTCTTTTATGTGGTTCTGCGGATCGAACCCAGTGTCTTACAAGTGCTAGGCAAGTGCTTTGCCACTGAGCTACAACGCTAGCTTCTACTTATTTTTTCTTTTTGGTACTAGGGTTTGAACCTAGGTATGCTTTACCACTGAGCTACATCCAGCCCTTTTTAATTTTTTTTTTTTTTTTAATTTTGAGACAGGGTCTTACTAAATTGCTGAGGCTGGCCTCAAACTTGCAATCCTCCTACCCCAGCCTCCTAAGTTGTTGGGATTTTAGGTGTGCACTGCCATGCCTGGCTCTTCCAGTATACATTTTAATGAGCAAGTCACAAAGCAAACATTAGTGTAATTCCCACTTCTGACAGGAAGTTGTATAGTACATTATGGTTTAACCCTCTGGTGTCACCTTCCCTGGTGTGTTTCCTCTAGACCAAGCCAGTAGCATTTGCTGTGCGGACAAATGTCGGCTACAATCCATCTCCAGGGGATGAGGTGCCCGTGCAGGGAGTGGCCATCACCTTTGAGCCTAAGGACTTCTTGCATATCAAGGAGGTGGGGAGAGTGCTTGGCATCTGGTGGGAGGGCAAGGCGTAGGTACCAGGAGAGGAGCAGCCGGAGCTCCAGTGGGAAAGAAAGCCTTCTGAGTTGAGCAGAGCTGGGCTGAATCTGCCGTGTGACCTTGGATAAATTTCTCCACCTTTCTGAGCTGCTAATTTTTCATTGTCAAATAGGTGGTAATACTTAGGTCATGAGGCTGATTTATCATGAGGTCTATGACTAGAGTAACAGTGTATCAGGGCCTGTGAATGTGCATTTACTCCTACTCTCTGTCTACAGCAGGGTGGTCCCAGGGAGGGAGGGAGTGGGGGACTCTCACCGGTCTGAAGAGTTATCTTGAGACTTTAGAGGGTGGACATCTTTGAGGGTGCCATCCTCCAGTAGGGTCAGCAAATCTGGGGGGTTCCCACGAAGGGTGACTGCTGTCTTGTGCCTCCAGTCCCCCTTTTGCTCTCCCCCACCCTACCTGCTGTTGTTTTCAGAAATACAATAATGACTGGTGGATCGGGCGCCTGGTGAAGGAGGGCTGTGAGGTTGGCTTCATCCCCAGCCCTGTCAAACTGGACAGCCTACGCCTGATTCAGGAACAGAAGCTTCGCCAGAACCGCCTCAGCTCCAGGTACGTGGCAGGGGGTGGCTGCTGCAACCTCAGGAGAGGCCCTCAGCCAGGACTAGGCCTCAGGGCTGACTTTAGCCTTGAGGGCACAGAGCTATCACCACGGGGGCTGGAAAACTCCAGAGAGTGCAGCTTGTACAGGACAAGACTCCCCCATTCCCACGCCTACCCCTTTGCTCACCAGCTCCGTTTGCCTCCCTGCCTACGCAGCAAATCAGGTGACAACTCCAGTTCCAGTCTGGGAGACGTGGTGACTGGCACCCGCCGCCCCACACCCCCTGCCAGTGGTAAGAGCTGCTGCCATCCCTGGGGTGGGGGGAGCTTCTGGGGTGGTCTCCCCACTGTCTGGCCCTCTTCTCCCTGTATAGGGGCACCCCAATTCTGAGTCCCCAAAACACATGCAGTAGTACTCCCTCTATGAACAATAGGGTATCATACAAGCTGGGCCTGTCTTGTCTCTCCTCTCCCCTTTCTTTGGTAGCTCCATCTCTCTACCTGCCCCCTACCCACCGCCCCTGACCCCATTCATTTCTCCCAACCCTGTTCCATTCACCTCTTCTTCTTTCTTTTCTCCCCATCCCCATCCCTGTGTTCTGTACTGTGTCTCCACGTCCATCTCACTCCTCTTCTCTCACCTCCTTCCTCCCTCTCTTCTGACTCCTGTCCAGGTAATGAAATGACTAACTTAGCCTTTGAACTAGACCCCTTAGAGTTAGAGGAGGAGGAGGCCGAGTTTGGTGAGCAGAGCAGCTCTGCCAAGACTAGTGTTAGCAGTGTCACCACCCCGCCGCCTCATGGCAAACGCATCCCCTTCTTTAAGAAGGTAATTCTTGCTGGGTTCTTAAGAGGGGATGGTCAGGGCCCAGCTTTTTGGCAGAGAGAGGGGGCTGGGGTGGGTGCAGATACTGTTCAGCCTGTCCTGTGCCTCAGAGCTTCCCGTGGATCTGGAGGGGTGTGTGCAATGGGCACATCCCTCTCCACACACACCCCACCCTGGTCCACCCCCAGGGAGGGCTGGTTGTTACCCTTGGAAGGCTGTCCACCCTGAGGAAGCAGGGTCTGGTGGCAATGAATCCTGACCTTTGCCCTCATTATCAATGGAATGGAATATTCCAACGGATGCCCCCCGCTCTGGCTTCTGAAGAGGAAAATGGAATGATGTTCCTTCTTTGCCCTTTTCTAATTCCGTTGGAGGGCACATGAGGGATCCACTGACTGCTTGGCAAGATAGTCAAGGGAACCCTTAAAATGGACATGTACATGGGCATCGGGGGCCGGAGGTGGGCACCACATTAGGGGCTGCCACTTTCTCCAGTTCTTTTCCAAGACTCAGAAAGGGGGGCTCTGATCATTACTGAGTCCCTTGGACTGCCCGTCAGTCCTGCTCCAACCCTGGTCCAGGAATACCTCTGGTTCCCCCTTGGCATGGGGTCCCGTCCCCTCTCTCTGGCTCTGTCTGTCACTAACACGCATGCCCTGTTATCTCTCCTCGTCTGCCCGCTCTCCCTCCCTCTCTTGTCCTGGCTCCTTCCTTGCCCTCTGCCCCTGCCTGGGTGCCCTCCCCTCTCTCCTCCCCTCCCCTCTCCTGGCAATCTCTGGACCCAGCCAAACAGAAGCAGAAGTCGGTGAGTATCACAGCTTTCTGTGTCCCCCCTCGCACACCCGGGATGAGCTAGGGGGCCTTCTAACACCCATTCCCATATCTGCCTCCCTTTCCCCACCCTTCCTGGTTCTCCATGGCCATCCCTATCCATCCCTGCCCTGATCCCCACATCTGGGCACTGGGACCAGGGGGAGGAAAGGATGCATGGGGGAAGCTTGGAGGCTGGAAGAGAGGGTCTGATGTCACCTCTACTCTGGGATTTCCCCTCCCTGCTTCCCTCAGACAGAGCATGTGCCCCCTTATGACGTGGTGCCTTCCATGAGGCCCATCATCCTGGTGGGACCGTCGCTCAAGGGCTATGAGGTAGGAACCCAAGAGGGGAGTGGGCCCGGAGAAGCCCAGACCTCCAGAAAGACACCATAGGAATATCTTCAGACTACAGAGAGGTCCCCCAGAAGGGCCCAGATCCCCAGGGTGTCCTCTCCAGAAGGCTATAGACCTTCAGAGAAAAATCTCAGAGGAGCCTGACCCATGGAAGACCCATTCAGAAGGGCCCAGTTCCCTGAAGAAATCCCTGGAGAGCCCTCCGAGAGACCCACCTTAAAGGATTTTTGGAATCAGAGACTGCATGGGAGGCCCCTCAGAGTTGGGGAGCCCTCCATAGAGGTCCCTTCATCTCCAGAATTTGAAAAGAAAATAAAAAGTAAGGGTACAAATGCCCAGCAGCTCAATCTCCTGAGCAGGTTCTTTGTGGGGGGTACCAGGGATTGAACTCAGGGGACTCAACCATTAAGCCATATCCCCAGCCCTATTTTGTATTTTATTTAGAGACAGGGTCTCACTGAGTTGCTTAGTGTCTCGCGGTTGCTGAGGCTGGCTTTGAACTAGGGATCCTCCTGTCTCAGCCTCCCGAGCCACTGGGATTATAGGCATGTGCCACCTCGCCCACCTCTGAGCAGCTTTAAATGCCTGAATTCTCTTCCCTCCTTCCTCCAAACATCCAACCCCAGGTTACAGACATGATGCAGAAAGCTTTATTTGACTTCTTGAAGCATCGATTTGATGGCAGGTAAGACCCAGAGAACCATCTATCCACACCCATTGTGGCTCTCTGTGTTGGGAGGAGTAGGGTATCTTGAAGGACAATCTTAGGACTCTTGGACTGAGGGACACTGGGCAGGCCTAAAGTCTGAAGAGTGGGCAAGACATTCTAGCCCACCCTGGCTCCTGACTCCCTCCTCCTCCCTGTCCCCAGGATCTCCATCACTAGGGTGACAGCTGACATTTCCCTGGCCAAGCGCTCAGTCCTCAACAACCCCAGCAAGCACATCATCATTGAGCGCTCCAACACACGCTCCAGCCTGGGTGAGCCGGGCCTGCCTTTCGTACTCCCCGCTTCTGGGCTGCACTAGGGTAGGGTGAGAGGTGGTGGGTGGAAGGACCAGAAGTGTTCCTTCCATTCACTGCTTCCTGGGGGCGGCCTTACATTCCCCCTCCCCATGCCTTGGTGCCCCCAAGCTGAGGTACAGAGTGAGATTGAGCGGATCTTCGAGCTGGCTCGGACTCTTCAGTTGGTGGCTCTGGACGCTGACACTATCAACCACCCAGCTCAGCTCTCCAAGACCTCGTTGGCCCCCATCATTGTTTACATCAAGATCACTTCTCCCAAGGTGGGTGCATGGTTTATAAGGAGTGTTCTGAAGTTGGGCTGCTTGGATCTCCTCTACTCCTTACTACCAGGTGATTTGATCGCTGTGAGCTTTGGTTTCCTTCTCTGTAAGACTCTACTGTATGCATATCATGAAGATGCTGCCCAAGATACGTTGCCAAAGGGCCTGGGACAATACACCTCATCATGTGGTAGCTATGACTAATATTATTAGGATCATGTAGGCCAGTCCCCTGTCTATACTTTGGTTGACCTTCTGTGATTGGACCAGAAAACTAAAAGAAGTCATTTTGATTTTTCTTTGTCCCAGTGTCACTCAGCTACTTGACAGTTGTGGGGTCTTTCTTGTCTTCTGAACTCAGGAGCAGTTGACCAGTGAGCCATATCCCCAGCCCTATTTTGTATTTTATTTAGAGACAGGGCCTCACTGAGTTGCTTAGTGACTCACCATTGCTGAGGCTGGCTTTGAACTCGGGATCCTCCTGTCTCAGCCTCCCAAGCCCCTGGGATTATAGGTGTGTGCCACTGTGCCTGCCTTGGTATCAGCTTTTTTCTGCTCTTCTGTCTTCATTCAGACTGGTAGAGAATATTTGTTGGAAAGCTGGTTTACTTTTTTTTTTTTTTTTTTAAGTTTTTAGTTGTAGATGAACACAATACCTTTATTTTACTTATTTATATGTGGTGCTGAGGTTCGAACCAGTGCTTCACAGGTGCTAGGCAAGCATTCTACCACTGAGCCACAACCCCAGCCGCTGGTTTACTTTTTTGTTGGGTTGTGGCTCCATGAACTTTCCCTTCCAGATGTTAGTAAGTATTAAGAAACATGGAGGGGCTGGGGATGTGGCTCAAGCGGTAGCGCGCGCCTGGCATGCGTGCGGCCCAGGTTTGATCCTCAGCACAACATACAAACAGAGATGTTTTCAGATGTTTCCAGAGTTTTCCGCCGAAAACTAAAATAAATAACAGGCAATTTATTTTAAAAAAAATTAAAAAAAAAAAAAAAAAAACATGGAAAAGAGTTTAGGCAAAGGTTTTAAAGTTTGAAGACAGCACGAGGTTCAAATCCTTGTTCTTGTTGGTTTGTTGTTGTTTTTATTAAGTTTGGGATCTGGGGGGAATTATTTAGTCTCTGAGCCTCAATTTCTTCACCTACAAAATGAGGTTATAATCCCTCTCTTAAGTTTTTATTATATTTGTTTTCTGGGATTGAACTGAGGGCCTGACACATGCAAAGCACACACTGTATCCCTGAGGAACTTTCAGCTTCTCTTGTGTTATTTCTGAGGGGACTGGAGGTACTTGATGTAAAGAGCCCAGCATATACTGTTTGATTCATGATGGCAGCCAACAGTGGTAACTATTATTGTTCCATGGTAGCTTCTTTTGAGCTGAGCACCCTGGGCCAGTTACTTAGCCTTTCTGAGTCCTTAAGTTTCTAATGAGATAAAAGGAATGATGGGATTTAAGTATTTGAAGGAGGGGGAGGTTGAAAGGATCAAATGAGATAATGGATGCAAAACCACTTTGTGACCTAGACAGTAACAAAGGCTTTCATTTTGCCCCACTGAAGTTTAGGGCAGGGACTCAGGAGCCAGATTGCTTGGATTTCCTACCCAGGCTGTCATTTACCAGCACGTGTTCCTTTGGCAAGTCACCTAACATCTCTGTGCCCTAGTTTCCTCATCTGCCACATAAAGAAGTTGGGGCTGGGTCTGTAACTCAATTGTATAGTGCTTGTATAGTACCCTCCCTCCAGTATTTTATTTTCAAATAATTTCAATTTAACAGAAGTGTTGCAACAATAGCTCAAGGATTCTGTTCTTTGAATATCCTTCATTCAAATTCACTAATTTTAAAAAACATTTTTAGTGATACTGGAGATTTAACACAGGTGCACTGTACCACTGAGCTACACTCCCTATCCCTTCTTTATTTTTATTTAGAGACAGGGTCTCACTAAGTTGCTTAAGGCCTCATGTGCATTTCTGTACCCAGCCAAAAATTCACTAAAATTTTAACAGCTCTATTAAGATATGATTCACACCTATAATCCCAGCAGCTTGGGAGGATGAGAGAGGAGGATAGCGAGTTCAAAGCCAGTCTCAGCAATGGCGAGGCACTAAGCAACTCAGTGAGACCCTGTCTCTAAATAAAATACAAAATGGGGGGCTGGGGATGTGGCTCAAGCGGTAGCGCACTCGCCTGGCATGGGTTTGATCCTCAGCACCACATACACAAAGATGTTGTGTCCGCTGAAAACTGAAAAATAAATATTAAAAAAAAAATGGGGCTAGGGATGTGGCTCAATGGCCAAGTGCCTCTGAGTTCAATCCCTGGTACTGCCCCTCCCCCCAAAAAAAGATACAATTCACATTAGCTGGGCATGGTGGTGCATGCCTATAATCCCAGCAATTTGGGAGGCTGAGGCAGGAAGATTACAAATTCGAGGTCAGCCTCAGCAATTTAGCAAGGTCCTAAGCAACTTACTAAGGCCCTGTCTCAAAAAATAAAAAGAGGTAGGGCTGAGGTTGTTGCTCAGTGGTAGAACGCTTGCCTAACATGTGTGAGGCACTGGGTTCAATGCTCAGCACTACATAAAAAATAAATAAGGGGCTGGGGTTGTGGCTTAGTGATAGAGTGCTCGCCTCACACGTGCGAAAAACCCTGGGTTTGATCCTCAGCACCACATAAAAAAAATAAACAAATGAAATGGAGGTGTTGTGTCCAACTGCAACTAAAAATAACAAATTTAAAAAATTAAAATAAATAAATAAATAAAATTAAAGTTATTGTGTCCATCTATAACTGGAAAAAAATTTAAAAAAAAAAGAGAGAGAGAGAGAGAGCTGGAGATGTGTCTCTGGGTTTAATCCCCAGTACAAACAAAACAAAACAAACAAACAAAACCAACAACAAAAGAATTAATATCTTATTTCATTCAGCCATTTATTTTATTTTCATTTATTTATTTAAGTGCTAGAAGTCAAACCCAGGGCCTTGCGCATGGTAGGCAAGTGCTCTGCCACTGAGCTATAGCCCCAGCACTAATTTAGCCATTTCAAGTGCACAGTTTAATTTTTTTCAGATTCACTAATTTTTTTAAATTAATTTTTTTTTTTTTTTTTTTTTTTTTTGAGAGAGATGCTAGAGATTAAACCCTGGGCCTTTTGAATGGGGGATATGCACTGTACCACAGAGTCACATGTCACATTTAATGGAACCATTTTTCCTTTTTTTTTTTTTTTTGTAGCACTGGGAAACAATCTCAGAGCCTTATGTATGCTAGGCAAGGGCTGTACTACTGAGCTACACCCTCAGCCAAATTTTATTTTTTAATAAAGTATGTGCCTAGCATGTGTGAGGCCCTGGATTCAATCCCAGCACACACACCAAAAAGATCATATGCTTTTATCCTGTATGCTTCCACATGTATTTAAGACCAAGAATGTCATCTTACATAGTCATAATATGGTTGTAAAATTTAAAAAATATTACATAAAATGCAATTCATAGTTGTCTTTCACCAGCTGGCCCAATAATGCCCTTATATAAGGCAGCATTTCCCCTAATCCAGGAATCAGGTTTGGATCACCTGTTGCATTTAGTTGTAGGTCTGCTTTCTTTAATATGGAAGAGTTCTTCAGCCTTTCTTGGGTTTTCATGACACTGGCATTTTAGAGGATACAGGTCAGCCATTTTGTAGACTGTCCCTCATTTGGGATTTGTTAGATGTTTTCTCATAACTAGGTTTAGGTTTTTTTCTTTTATTATACCTATCATTATTGTTAGGATGACAATAATAATAGCTATCTCAGTGCTGTTGACAGAACTAAATTGATCACATAAAAAGGTTGAGGTACATGCCTGTAGTCTCAACTGTTTGGGAGGCTGAGGCAGGAGGACGCTTGAGCCACGACCTGTTCAAGGCCAATCTGGACAATATAGTGAGACCCTGCCTCCTCTACTTAAACAAAAACATAGAACAGTGCTGGTACCTAGCAAGCACCCTCCAAAAGATGCCTGCTGTTGCTAACGTGGTGCAGGGGAGTGAGCCTGGAGAATGAGGGCTACAGACCAGGTTAGAGGGGTGGGGAACTAGTATCACTACCTTTCATGTAGCTCTCAAGGAGAGGTGGTCATGAGACCCAGAAGAGAGCCTGAACATTGTACAGGGTGAACGTAGGGCTGGTAAGGTCATTCCTGCAGAGGTGCTCAAGGCTGAGAGTCATGGAACATTCCACCATCCTGACACTGACTCCAACCAGAACTTGCCTTTCTCACTTGGTGCATTGCTTGGGCCCCTCTAACTCCTCCTCCTCTTCTCCCCAAACCAGGTACTTCAGAGGCTCATCAAATCCCGGGGGAAGTCTCAGTCCAAACACCTCAATGTCCAAATAGCAGCCTCGGAGAAGCTGGCACAGTGTCCTCCTGTAAGTGCTCAGACCTTGGGAGGGGAAGGAATTTGGGTTCACCTGGTTTCCTCTGACCTGCACTGGAGACAGAGTGGGAACACCTGGGCCAGGTCTGTAGGTACAGACTTGTTTTGGAGGAAGGTGGACTAGACAGGCAGAGTGGGCTGAAGCACCCCTTCTCCATGGGGAGCCAAGCCCCCTCTCCCAACTTAGGTTGTCTCTAGAATAAGGGAGTTGGGCTGAGTTGGACTACCAGAGCTCTTAGAGTTCTGCTAATTTGTACATCTGAGCGTTCTCCTTCCCTTCCTGTACAGCCAGAGGCCTTTTTAACCTTGTCCTTCAACCCCCTTGGCTCCACCCACTGCACCCAGGCCACACCCTCAACCCCTTGGTCACGCCCCCGCTCATCCCAGCCCTGCCCCTAACCCCACCTCCACAGGAAATGTTTGACATCATCCTGGACGAGAACCAATTGGAGGATGCCTGCGAGCACTTGGCTGAGTATTTGGAAGCCTATTGGAAGGCCACGCACCCGCCCAGCAGCACACCACCCAATCCGCTGCTGAACCGCACCATGGCTACCGCAGCCCTGGCAGCCAGCCCTGCCCCCGTCTCCAACCTCCAGGTACAGGTGCTCACCTCCCTCAGGAGAAACCTCAGCTTCTGGGGCGGGCTGGAGGCCTCCCAGCGGGGCGGCGGCGCGGTGCCCCAGCAGCAGCAGCAGCAGGAGCACGCTATGTAGCGGGTGCCCCACCCATCTTCCCTCCCGCCCTGGAGTGCAGGGAACGTGGGGAAGGAAGGGAAGAGCTTTATTTTGTAAAAAAATGTGGTGAGCGGCAGCTTCTGGTGTCTGTGGTTTTTGGTGGGACTGGGGCTGGCTGGTGCTGCCTCCCTGGGCCTGGTTCCGCAACTAGGACTAAATCTGCTGCCCATTGGACATGAGGCCTGATTGGGCCGCTTACAAGAACAGGGACTAGGAAGAAAATATGAGGAAGACTGACCTACTCATTTACTGGACTTCACACCCATTTTAGACCCAACGTGGCAGGGGCCCTTAGACCCAGGGAAACCCATTAGAGCAGGGACCTTTAAATCCAGAGACACTGCCCTAACCCTGGACCCCTAACTGCAGAAAGCCTCTGGGAGCAGCCCAGAATGGAGCATCTTCTATGAGTTAGTGCTGTGCCCTTTACCCTTCTCCCAGTTAAACAGAGTCCGGGAAAGTCTGTCCTGTGGGTGTCCCTTCCTGCCTCTCCTTCTTCCCATGGGAGTCACAGCCCATCTCTGGGACCATTAAGTATACACCATTAAGAATATGATTCTAGGTTAGCATCACAAGAAATCCATGAAGTCATTCTAGACTGCTGCTTTTCAAATTTGTTTTCAGCCACGGCCTCACTGAATCTCAGGGGGAAGTTGAATATATAGATGAGGCATCCTTGTTCAGTTCAGAGGGAGCCAGGGCCCTGCCCTCCCAATCACCTCCCTAGGGATCCTGGAAGCACTTTTATGCTCTCCCCATCCCATCCCACCCCACCCCACATCTTCAGGAAATCGTTTGGAAACTGCTTCTATAGTCTAATCCCCACCATACTGCAATCAAGAAACTGGGCCACAGAGATAGAAATCATTTTGCTCAGGGTCACATAGCTTGAAGTGGTGGTAGGGGAAGGACTTAACCTGGGCCTCTTTGTACCCCACCCAACAACCTCTGTGGTAGCAGTGGCTGTCAGCTCACTTTCATGTGGCATCTGGTGATGAGGACATTGGGCTATTTCATGGTCTTCACTGGAGGATGGAGATCTATTAACCTTCCCAGTTTGATGCTTTGAGTCCTTATTGCCGATAGGGAAGGAATCCCATCGACCTTAGAGACTCATCTGTGTAGGGAATGGGAGGAGCAGCGTGGGGTTCTGGAAATCTGTGATTGAGGTCTGATGTGGGCTGAAGAAGCTGGGGTCAGTGAGTTTGAGCTGAAATCACTTACTGTATTTGGAAAAGTGGAGGCATTGACTAACCCAGTCAACCACTGAGTGGCAATACTAATGAGCTGTTAATGATGATTAACCTCAAGGCAGCATTAATAACATGTATTGAGGAAGTGGTGACTAATTGTTCAGGGGCTCCCTACCATGGTTACCAGGAAAGTTCATGGATGTGAGGTCTGATGAAGTTGGGCATCCTGTCCTAATAGAGGAACAGATGCACCGAGGCCTGTCCACTGGGCTTTAGAGCCATTTTCCTGATCTGGTGCCCCTCTCCCAAAGCCAGCGACCTCCTTCAGCCAGGCTGGGTGTCTTGGTGTCCTCACTAACCTGCCTTGCTTTGTTGTGTTTTTCTCACCCCTGCCTGATCTGCATGGTGTGTGCCGTCTGTCTGCTAACCAGGGACCCTACCTTGCTTCCGGGGACCAGCCACTGGAACGGGCCACCGGGGAGCACGCCAGCGTGCACGAGTACCCGGGGGAGCTGGGCCAGCCCCCGGGTCTTTACCCCAGCAGCCACCCACCAGGCCGGGCAGGCACCCTGCGGGCTCTATCCCGCCAAGACACGTTCGATGCCGACACCCCCGGCAGCCGAAACTCTGCCTACACGGAGCTGGGAGACTCGTGTGTGGACATGGAGACTGACCCCTCAGAGGGGCCAGGGCCTGGAGACCCTGCAGGGGGCGGCACCCCTCCAGCCCGACAGGGCTCCTGGGAGGATGAGGAAGAAGACTATGAGGAGGAGCTCACTGACAACAGGAACCGCGGCCGGAATAAGGCCCGCTACTGCGCAGATGCCGGGGGTCCGGTTCTTGGGCGCAACAAGAATGAGCTGGAGGGCTGGGGGCGAGGCGTCTATATCCGCTGAGAGGACAGGGCTGCCCAGTGGGAGGAAGGGCTCTGAGCCCTGGGGAGGGGAGGGACAGAGGGGCTCATCACCTGAGACGTGTCCTGCCTCCAGGGGGCGCTGTCTCCCTCCATTCAGATGCCTTGGCTCAATGTTTGGGGTTTCTTTGGTGATATCATCCCAGCTCCTGAGAGGCCCTTGAGCCCCAGCTGTAGGCTTACCCCTACCTGCTGTAGATGGATGGGGGATATCCACCTTTCTGAAGTGTCCCCTTTCCCCCATCTTAGGGGGCTCTCCTCCCAGAGAAAAGGTGCACTTCCTTAACTTTCTACTCTGGGTTCTAATTGAAGGTCCTAAATGGGGCGACCCTTCTTTTTCCCAAACTGGTGTATTTGGAGAGTTGGGCGTTTTTCTTGAGAGGGAGGACACAGAATCTTCCCCATGGGGCTCTCTCTCAAACCCCAGATCCAGGGTCCCTCACCATGCCCACCCCCTGCCCCGGTTTCCTGGCAGCATTGTCGGGTAGGTGAAAGGTATAACATGGAGACCAGTAACGAGCTCGCCTTTGGGGGAGGGGTTAGGGTGGAAAATGACAGGCTCAGCTGCCCTCTTGGCCTTGGCCATGCAGGGGCTTAGAACCCTAGAGCCCTGAGGAGTGGGTGACCCGACATGCTGCTACCCACCCCCACCTCCATGCCTCAGCTCTCACCTACCCCAGGAATGAGCTTTGCCTACGACATCCCCTGCCTGCTGCCATCAGAAGAAGGGGGCCCTCTGCATCTGAGCCCCCCAACTCCATGCCATTGGGTGTGGAGACCATGGAACACTCTGGTCCACCTCATTCTAAACCAAAAAAACTGCTCCTTCACCTTCATCCTGAGGTCCCAGGAGAGAAGCCCTGTGGGTTGGTGTCCAGGAAATGACCACCATCCTGGGGTTGCCTGGTCACCTGGGGACCTCAGATCTCCCCTGGGGGGCTTGGCTGCTGCTGCTGCTTCTCTATATTTGCCTCTTGTGATCCTGTCCTTCATTGGTGTCCACTTCCCCCAGGAGAGGCCTTGGTAGCCCCTGGGGCACCCTCTGCCCCCGCACCCCCACAGCCTAGCAGCCGTGCCCCTCCCCAGCATCCCAGCTGGGCCAGAGAGAGCCGATTGTGCCAACGAGGACTGGGCCCTGCCCGGCTGCCCACCTCAGGGATGGGCACCTCAGGCCTGTCTCGCCACCTCCTGTGCCAATGTTGTCGTGCCCCCACGTGGGGTGGGGTGCAGCTTCCACTTACTGGTTAGAAGACACCACTGCCTGATCTTTCCCTCTCCCTGTCTGGTGTCCTGTGCCCCATCTGTCTGTCTACTTGTCTGTACTCTTCTAGGAGAAGTATTTTGCCACATATAAAACCGCCGTCCAGTCCTTTGCGGCCACCTTCCAGCCTGCTTCTTTGTTCCCGCCGCACGGTTGTCTGGCAGCCTTGCAGCCTCTGCACAGACCGCTGCTGCCAGAGGGGGCGAGCCAAGGGGAGAGGCAGGAAGAAGCTGCACTCTGGGCTGTTGACTCGGGAAAGACAGGGCTTGGTTTGTGGCCTTCTGGAGTATGTGCAAACCTGCCAGGGCTGCATGCCCACTCTTAAGCCCACACCATACCTGTCTCCCCACATGCAGAGCCAGGGGAAATGGGAACCTGGGATGTAGTTAAGTGCAAAATCTTAAAGGTACATGCTTGTTCTGCTCTTCTGGCCTCACTGCACCCCAGAATCTTGGGGAGGGAGGGCTGAGCTTCTGGCTCCACTGATGTGCAGTCATTACTGCCATCACCTATATCCTACCTCATGGAGCACCTGCAAGCTCTCTCACCCTCCTGGTTCTTGTTTTTGAGGCGGTAACCCAAAATGTGTGTGTATGTGTGTGGAAGGCAACAGACACCGGAAGGCCCACAGATGAGTTAGCAGATCAGAGAGGAACTGGCAGACCCAGGTGTCAGGTGGCTGACTGGAGCTCCCCAGAGGGTTGATGGCAAAGTTGATAAGAGCCGGGTCTCTACCTCCAGCTTGGTACTCTTTCCACCACTTTCCCATGGGATTGATCATTTGTTCCTTGTTTATTCACTGGACATACATTTATTAGGCACCTCCTAGGTATCAGGGGCAAGTTGAGAGCCGCAGACAATTCCAGTACTGAACATGAGCTGTGTGCTGTGAGAAGCACTGGTAATGTGGAAACCTGGAAAAGGGTCACACTCTCACCCTGGGGAAATCAGGGAAGTCTTCATAGAGGAGGTGAGTCTTGCTTGGAGTCTAGAAGCAAAGTCAGAGGTTAAGCCAGATAGAAAAGTAGGGGGGTGTTCAAGGCAGAGGAACCAGGCACATGCATGACAAGTTTTTGGCACTTCACTAACAAAGCATGGTGAGGTGGAGGCCAGAGAGGGGTTGACAGGAGCAGGCCATTTGGTTTTTGCTGGGCATGGTGGTGAACACCTGTAATCCCAGCTACTCAGGCAGGAGGATCACAAGTTCAAGGCTCAGCCTGGGCAACACAGTGAGACCTTATCTAAAACCCGGGGAAGCACTGGAGATGTAGCTCAGTAGCAGAGCACCCCTGTGTTTAATCCTCTGTACCCCAAAAGGTTTATTTTTTGTTCTGAAGCTAGTGCTCAGAAATTGAAGGATTAGCCAGATGTGGTGGCCTGTGCCTGTAATTCCAGCGGCTCAGGAGGCTGAGACAGGAGGATCGTGAGTTCAAAGCCAGCCTCAGCAACAGTGAGTTGCTAAGCAACTCAGTGAGACCCTGTCTCTAAATAAAATACAAAAAGGGGCTGGGAATATGGTTCAGTGGTTGAGTGCTCCTGAGTTCAATCTCCAGTTCCCCCCACCCAAAAAAGAAAGAAATTGAAGGATTATAAATAGCAATGACAAGATTGCTTTGGTTGGAGCATGAATTGGAGGGCCTCACTTGGAAATAGCTGGACACTAAGGTGGAAATGAGGCTGTGCCTTAGACCACAGTGACATCTAGCAGATAGAATCCAGAGCTCTTGAAGAACAAGTAGAGGTAGCCAGTAAGGGAGAGGGTGACAGTGGGTGGTAGTCTTCCCAGACAAAAGAAGGTTAAAAACAGATCAGAGCAGAAGTAATGAGTCTGGCTTTGCATAAAGGGATTTAAGTTTCCTGTGGGACATTTGAGGGGAGAAGAGAAGACAGCTGGGCACAATGAGCTGAACCTCTGCAGAGAGGTTCAGAGAGACTAAGCGACTAGTCTGTAATTACACAGCCATAGAGCAAAGGAGTCAAATTCACATTTCGATTCCTGTGACCCCCAAGTCCAGTGCTAATTCCTCTGCCCCAGGATGCACCAGCTTCTGCAAGGGTTGGGGGTAAGGGGTTGGGGAGGAGGAGGAAGCAGGGGTCTGAGTGTTTCTGTCTCCTCTCATGTACCTTCTGCCTGAAGTTACCTTTGCTCAGAACTTGCAGGCAAGGACATTTCTAGCTGGAGATACTGAGAAATGGGGAGAAATTCTTGTTTCTTGGTAACCACAAACCCTTAACCAAAGTTGGCTGCTCAGTCAGCACATGTGGTTGTCAGCATGTGAGGATTTCAACAGCCATGTCGTCAGCAGGCTCTGCTGCTCTGATTGCCCCCACGGACTCAGGAAGTGAAGCCTTGGGGACCCTTCCTACCTGGCACCCTTCCTTTACCTGCTTCCCTGGCTAGCTGCTTACATTTTGTGGAGGATTCTGCCCCTAAGTGAGCTGAAGTGGGGTAGGCCACAAGTACCAGGTGTGAACTAAGGTTTCCACTGTAGTAAAATAAAGCAAGCTGAGCTGAGGTCACCATGGGCCAGGGTCAAGGGGGTGTCCCAGTCTAGTATGCTAAAGAGACATCTTGTGTTAACTCCAGTAATTGTTTCCTTGAAGAAGGGTGCCCACTTTGCTGTCTCTCAGAGTGTGAGAGTATGTGTGCACATGTGTGTTTATCTCCCTCTCCAGACTTGAAGGGTCCGTGGAGACCCAGGCTGGATGATTTGGCTGCTTGGTTGTGTTTGACTCATATTTGTGAAATAAACAGATGAATGAGTGAATGGATGAATGCCTCCTAAGAGCCCAGTCCTGGGCCTCCTGATGCCGGCAGATCTTGTCTGTTTATTGAATGTGCTCCCAGTTTGCAGTGTCACTTTCAATTCTGCAATTGGGTATGTGTGTGTGTCGGGGGAAGGCACTTAAAGGTTCCTTTCTCTCCCAGGAAACAGATGGTAAAATCACTTAAAGCACTGTTGCTTCCCCCAGCACCCTCCTGGCCCCCACCAGCCCCAGTCCCAGACCCTTCTTTCCTAGGGCTGAAATGAAAACAGCCCAGATGGGCTTGAAGTTCACTTTTCTAGGCTTCTATCTCTCTGGGCACCAAACTGGGTGAATCAAAAGTCTTTATGTAGTGAGCTGTTTGCCTCTGCTTTCCACAAACTTTTTAGTCTCCCTCAATCCTGTGCCCATTTTTCTTTTGTTTTTTGTACTGGGGATTAAACCCAGGGATGCTCTACACCCCATTCCTTTTTATTTTTTGGGTACTGGAGATTGAACCCAGGGGCGCTTAACCACTGAGCCACATTCCTAGACCTTTAAATTTTTTTTTTTTTTAAATGTTGGGAGAGACTTGCTAAGTTGGTGAGGCTGGCTTTAAACTTGTAATCCTCCTTTCTCAGTCTCCCGAGACACTGGATTATAGGTGTGCTCCACCACATCAGTCCCCACATTCTTTTTTTTTTAATACTCCAAGTGCACATTTTCAGGCTGTAGCTTAACTTGTCCTAAGTCAACCTAATGACAACACATTCCTAACTGTATGCCAGGCACTGAACCAGGTGGGGAGGGGGACAAACACTGGTGAACAAGATAGGAAACCCAGCCTCTAGGGTTCACAGGTGATTGAGAGAAACAAACCATTCTATGGCCCCAGCGTGGAGAGAGATTCCATGTGGTGGGAGCTTGAGAATAGGTGGCTTTACGGGAAGGCAGCTAGTGAGTTCCAGGCATTTTCCCTTTCTGAGTAGGTGTAAGGCATTCATGTGGAGGGAATGCAGGAGGAAGGGCAAAGTGGGAAAGAGCTGGACATATAAGGGCAGGGAGCAGTGGATGCAAAACCCGGGAGGTAAAACTGCAAAAGCAGGTGGGGACTGTTGCTGGAGGATCTTGAATGCCAGGTTAGAAGGCTGATCCAGAGCGAGTGAGCAATAGAGAGCCATTGAAGGCTGTGGGTGGGAATAACAGATGCTGAGCTGTGCTTTTAGAAGGCTAATAGAGCTTCGAGGAGGGTGCTCTGGGAAAGGGGGGGAGCAGAAACAGGTCAGTTGAAGGTTTGCTCCATCATCCGAGGGAGCCACATTGGGGCTGTGGGGACAGAGGCAGTAAGGTGGAAGGATCAGGCGCTTTGATGTGTTGATTTGCCTTTCCCACTTCTCTTTTTGTTTTCTGGTTTTTTCCAAGTTTGTGCAAAGAAGGAAATCCACAAACAAGAATATCCTCCTTTCTCTCCTGCTTGGTCTTCTGGTTCTCTTTAGTCTCATTGTTCTCCTCTGCCTGGGAGGCTGAGGCAGGAGGATCACTTGAGCCCTGGAAGACCCTGTCTCAAAAAATAAATAAAGAAAGAAAGAAAGAAAAAAGAAAACCAAAACCTAGACAAACAAAAATAATTTTTTCTTCTCTGCTGGGTCTTAATGTCTGGGACCCTCTGCAGGGTCTCTGGTTGGGGAATCTTTTCTTGCTCCATCTTTGTCTCCAGACACCCAATCATGGGATCAGCTGCTGAGCATGTGGTATGTCAATGGATTGTAGAAGCCCCAATTTCTCTCTAGATGTTGCCTAGCCGGAGGGACCTACAGGAGGAAGGGAGACCCTGCCCTTTCCCTGGGGAGTCCACTTTGAGTGGGCCCACAAGACTTTCACTAGCAAAACAACTAGAGAAGACGGAAGGCTGGAATGTTCTCCCAGCTAAGAGAGGACCAGAAAGCCCTCTCTCTGTCCCGCTGGTAGGTGCAGAAGTTGTGTCGCCTCGGATTTTGCTTCAGTCTAGGGTTTTGCTCTAGCGGGTAGAGGAGGGAGAGCTAGGATTGTTTGGTGCACCGCAGTGCTTAGATTCCCTTGATTTGCAGCCTGGGAGCAGAACACAGAGAGAACTTCAGTTTTTTTTTCAGGGCCAAGAGGAGGGTGCAGTCTGGGACTTCATTGTTCTTTGCACCTCCAGGGCCCTGGACAGGCAGCTCATCATCGCTGTAATGTTCACTGCGCACGCGAGAGATGAGTCCCGTGTACCTCCAAGTCCCACCTGCGAGGTGGGGTTCCTCGGTCCTCACGGGCTAAGCCTTTCTGGCCCTCCCTCGGGGGCGGGGCTCGAAACCCTTGGGCTAGATTCTTGCCCCCAGGCCCCCGAGTCCTTCACCTACCCAGCTAGGGACGTGCCATGGGACAGCTGATCGCCAAGTTGATGGGCATCTTTGGGAATCAGGGTAAGAGGCACATAGGGCATCCCAGCAACCGCTTTGATCCTGTGGTCTCCTGAGGCTCCCTCAATCGTCTGGGCAGACAGGCTGAGGGACCTCGGACTACTAGAGTCCGCGTGCGTGCTCCTTGCCTGCTCCACGGTCTCCTCTGTTCTTCTCCCAGCCGGTTTCTCCCGGGCTCCATGCTTCCGTGAGTCCCCGGGTGCGCTGCAGAGTTGGGCGAGTCTCCTTCCTCCCCGCTAAACCGCTACGGGGCAGGGCTGGGGGAGCCGCTTTCGGTTTCCTGCAATTACCTCTTGGATCTTTCTCCAGACCCCTCCTCTTGGCAAGCCCAGAGCACCCCGGACCCTTCAGGCAATCGCTTCTAGAAATTTGGAGGGAGGTGGGACTCGGTTCTCTTTGCCACTGTGCGGGAGTGGTGCAGGCGTCCTCCCGGCCGATTGGGAAGTAGAAGTGGTGCGGTGGGCAGAGATCCCTCGGCCAGCTGGGAACACTGGTCTTCCTGGGAGCCCTGCTGGGAGCACACAGTCCCTTGGACATCGGGTTTGGCTCTGACTCTGACCTTCCCCGGATGCCTCCAGAGCACAAGGTCATCATCGTGGGACTGGACAATGCAGGAAAGACCACCATTCTCTATCAGTTGTAAGTGGCTTTTGGGTGGGGAGAGAAAGGGCTGGGCCCCCTACCAGACTGACCGGCATTTGGACCAATAGTTGGAGCCCTTCCTTGGGTTCCCCGGCTCCCCAGTAACGGAGAGCAGTGATGAGGGAAGCTGGTGTGACCCTCCTGGTATAGAGACGGTGGGCCTGGCTTTGGGATCCTGCACTGTATGAGCAGCCCCAGTCCCCATGGTTCCTGCCGTCTGCCCCTGCTGGTGGCAGGTCCTTTTTTCTCAGTCCTGCTCCTTACCTTTAGCTTTGACCTCCAACTTGAAATCCAAAGCCATCAGCTCCAGGAGCGCCAGCATTGGGTCTGGTTAGGCTCCTCAGTTTCTGCATAAGACTTGTAGCTGAGTCAAAAGCCAAATGTGGGAACTTTCCCAGTGTTCAGTCTGGACAACATCTCTACCGAGATGGAGCCACCAAAGTACTTTATTTACATAGGATATATATTTTTTCCCCTGGAAAAGTAATAAATGTAAATGTTTTTCTAAAATTAGAGAAAACGCCTGTAATCCCAGCAGCTCCGGAGACTGAGGCAGGAGGATCCCCGAATTCAAAGCCAGCCTCAACAATTTAGCAAGGCTCTAAGCAACTCAGAAAGACCCTGTCTCTAAACATATATATGTGTTTTGAACCTCTCTCTCTCTCTCTATCTCTCTCTCTCTCTATATATATATATGTGTGTGTGTGTGTGTGTGTGTGTGTGTGTGCTGGGGATGTGGCTCAGTGGTTAAGAGCCTCTGGGTTCAATCCCTGGTACAAAAAAAAAAAAAAAAATCACACAAGAAAAAAATCAAACAGCACAAGAGTGCATGGTGAGAAGTAATTTTCCCTCTCACTGTAGATTTTAGTTTTCCTCCTCCCAGGTGACCACTCTTTCAACTTCCTGGTCACCTTTCAGAGACATCCTTCACTATAAAAATGTGGATGTTTTCTACATATGTTACTTAAACAAGGTAGCTCATCTCTCTGATGGCCCTCACTTTTATCTGTCTCATTAAAAAAAAAAGTATATTTTTTTTAGTATTAAACAATACCTTTATTTATTTATGGGGATTGAACCCAGGGGCACTCAACCACTGAGCCACATCCTAAGCCCTTTTTTGTATTTATTTAGAGACAGGGTCTAAACTGAGTTGCTTATCACCTCACTGTTGCTGAGGCTGGCTTTGAACTCATGGTCCTCCTGTCTCAGCCTCCTGAGCCGCTGGGATAAAAGGCCTGCACCACCTCGCTGGTTTATCTGTCTCGTTTTCCTCAGCCCTTGAGATTCCAAGTGTGGTCCACAGACTGGAAGTGGGAGCATGATCTGGGAGCTTGTTAGAAATGTAAAGTCCTGGGCAGCCCAAACCCACTGGATCAAATCTGCAGGTGATTCAACTTCAAATTTAAATTTGAAAAGATAGTTCTAATGTCCCCCCCACCCCAGGGCTAAGCCTGGACAACACTGGGGTCTCATTCTGTTTTCATTTCCCCTTGCCCAGGCAGGTGCTTGGTCTACCTGGGTTGGAGTTCTTAGTTAGACTCAGCTGCCCAGGAAGTGGACCAGAGCTGGAGACCAGAGCTGGGAGGGGGCTAGGCCGTGGTCTTAGAACCTTTTTCTACCTCCTCAGTTTGACCAATGAGGTGGTTCACACGTGTCCCACCATTGGCAGCAATGTGGAGGAGATTGTTCTTCGGAAGACCCACTTCCTCATGTGGGACATCGGGGGACAGGAGGCTCTGCGCTCCACCTGGAGCACATACTACTCCAACACGGAGGTGAGGAGGTCGCCAGGGCTGGGGGATCTCCAAGGCAACTGTGTGATGTTAGCCAGTGCCCCCTCTTAACCTAGGTTCCCCCTCTGTGAAGTGACCTAATAATGACCTCTCTGAGTCACAGTGAAATTAAATAACACTCAGACAAGAGGGAAGGCATAGAGGCCAAACACTTAACCCAGTGCAGTGCCTGTAAAGATTTTTTTTTTTTTTTTTAATCCTGCCTGTCTGCTTCTGGCAGTTTCCAGTCTGATGCACTGGATAGCATGAGCCCTTAGTCTCTGAAGGCCTTGTCTTCTCATTTGGCAGAAGTAGAACAAGAGACAGAGCTGCCACTCATCAGCTGTGTGGCCAAGGGCAAGATTCCTAACCTCACTGAGGTTACCCTCCTTTGTAAAATGGAAGTAATAACAGCACCAAGCCCACAGCATTGGTGTGAGGCCTAAATGGAGTCCTGAGCACCCAGGGCTTAGCACGGCCTCTGGTACACAATCAGGTTTGCTCTGTATTTCCTCTGTCTGGATAGAAAAGCCAATTAAAATGGGACCAGGTTGTGAGATCATGAGGCAGCTCGGTTCCTTTTCTATGGAGCTGGCATGTGGGCAGTTCAGAGGACAGTGGGCAGGAAATACTTTCACAAAGAGGAAGCCGGCTCCTTAAGGCTCCCCTCTGCTGGCCAGTTCGTCATCCTCGTGATTGACAGCACAGACCGGGATCGGCTGCCCACCACTCGGGAGGAGCTGTACAAGATGCTGGCCCATGAGGTAAGCTTCCTGGGGTTCTAGCTGTGTGTCCTCAGGCTAGTCACTCAGCTTCTCTGAGGTCCATTCCTGACATCCTCGTCATTATCCCAGCAGTATGGGGAGGGCTAGTTTATTGAAGATGAAGGATGACAGTGCCCTCAGAACAACTGGTCACAGGAGTCAGAGTTGCTGGTTTAAGGTCTGTCCCCTCTTCTTGCTCGTGGATTCCTACCTCCTGAGGTTGTTGTAAGGATTATAGGAGCTGGTTGCAGGCATCCCATGACTTGTCGCTGTCATCAGATGTTGCTACTGTTGGAGTGGGGCCCACCTGGGAGGCTGGGGCAGGAGTGGAGAGGACTGGCAGGAGGAGGAAGGAGGCTTCTGGCTGACAGGGCTGTGGCTCTTCTTCCCCAGGCACTTCGAGATGCTTCAGTGCTGATCTTTGCCAACAAGCAGGATGTGAAGGACTCCATGACCACGGTGGAGATCTCCCAGTTCCTCACTCTCAGCGCCATCAGAGACCATCCGTGGCATATACAAGGCTGCTGTGCCCTGACTGGGGAAGGGTTAGTGGCTGCCAGACCTGGGTCTGGCCCACCAATGGACAAGTGGTCACCAGAATCCCTCTCCTGTCTTGGTCCTGTCAGACTCTGGCTCGTGGTTGGTGACTGGGCCAAATCAGATGGAAAGGGGTTGAATTGTTGAAACTGGGTGAGAGGGTAAGCTGTGCGTCCCCGTTCTTCAGGGCCTTCTAATGGAGAGGTAATCCTCACACAAACACAAGGGCCAGGTGGGTCTGATTTAGGTCTGGTGGTCAGGGATGGCCTCTCCTAGAGATGTGGTTTTTGAGCTGAGACCCAAACGAGACCCAAATGAAGAGAAAGAGACAGTCATGGAAAGACCTAGGGTCCAAAGACCTAGGGGATGGAAGTACTAGGGATTGAACCCAGGGATGCTTAACCACTGAGCCACATCCCCAGCCATTTTTTCTTTTTTATTTAGAGACAGAGTCTTGCTAAGTTGCTTAAGGCCTCACTAAGTTGTTGAGGATGGATTTGAATTTTCAATCCTTCTGCCTCAGCCTCCCAAGAGACTGGGATTACAGGCGTGTGCCACCATCTTTGAATTTCTGCGAAGAGTCCATGACACCATTCCATCAACAGATTTTTATCAAATACCTACTTTGTGCCAGTAGTGTTTTGGGTATTGGAGAAATAGCAGAAAACAAAACAGAAACTCCTACCTTCATGGACCTGGATTCCAGTGGGGGAGACAGACAATAAGCCAAAAAATATGTTTAGTAAGTTAAAAAATGATAAATGTTGTTGAGCACGGTGGCTCATGCCTGTAATCCCAGTGGCTCAGTAGGCTTAGACAGGAGGATCAATGGCAAGTTCAAAGTCAGCCTCAGCAAAGGGGAGGTGCTAAGTAACTCAATGAGACCCTGTCTCTAAATAGAATACAAAATAGGGCTGGGGGCAGCTAGGATTGTGGGGGCAGCTAGGATTGTGGCTCAGTCGTAGAGTGGTTGCCTGGCATGTGTGAGGCACTGGGTTCAATTCTCAGTATTGCACATAAACAAAGAAGGTAAAGGTTCTTTGACAACTAAAAGAAAAAAATTTAAAAAGAAATAGGGTTGGGGATGTGGCTCAGTTTGGTTTGAGTGTCCCTGGGTTCAATCCCAGGTACCAAAAAGATAACCGTTATGTTGGGGAAGGAAAGGGAGATTGGTAGGAATGTTGCAATCTTGGGGAGTGGGGAGGGTACAGGGGCACTTAACTACTGAGTCACATCCCTAGTCCTTTTTATTTTTTATTTGGGTCTCAATTGCTGAGGCTGGTCTTGAATTTATAATCCTCCTGCCTCAGCCTCCTAAATTGCTGGGATTACAACTGTGTGCCACCTCACCCAGCCACAATTTTAATTTTTGAGATGGGGTTCTCACTTTGTTGTGGAGGCTGGCTTTGAGCTCCTGGGTTCAAGCAGTCCTCCTGCCTCAGCCTCCCCCAAATCTGGGGACTATAGGCAAGTGTTACCATGTGTCCCCAGTTGAATATTGCAGTTTTAGATGAGATATTCAGGGAGGGGCTGCTGAGAAGGTTGCTCTTGAGCACACACCTACATTGTGGACTGGACCACCTAGGGAGGGCTCTCCCTTGAGCCTATAGAATTTCCTTTTCGTTCACCTCTCAAGTGGAATGGTAGCAGCTGGAGACCCAGATGTCTTTTTTTGTTGTTTATTTTGTTCTGTGGTGCTGGGAGTTGAACCCAGGGCCTTAGACATGCTGGGTGAGCACTCTACCACTGAACTACTCCCAACCTCATAGATATCTTTTTGAAAAAGAGGAGACTATAGGCAAGTCAATACAAGGGCTCCCACATTTCTGGGAGTGTACCTGTCTGTGCTGGATCAGGAGGACCCTCCCCTCCCCTCCCCCTAGCTCACAGTCAGTTCAATGCAACTAGCATTTTCTAAGTACTCACCATGTCATCTCTGTGCCAGGTGAGGACTGGGGACAATACAGAGATGGCCAAGGCTCTACCCTTGCTCTGGAGTTGCTTAGTATCACACAGGAAAACTTGTATATGGAGCTTCTTCCTAGGCCTTTGAAGTCACCCTGCCACTTCCCCTAGTGACAGAGCAGGTGGGAGGGGACATGAGAGGCTTACCTGAGTTACTACTAAGGCATCCAGGAAGTTGGATCTCTAGGATGGTTTCTCCAAGAAGCCCTCCCTGACTCCCAGGCATCTGGAACCTTCTGTATATCTTCTTAACTTTAGTCCCAGTATGTAGCTATAGGATTATTTGCTGGACCATTTGCTTAGTCTCTATATCCTCTTCCATGCTGTAAGCCTCAGAGGGCAGGATGGCTTCTCAAGAGTCACTTCAGCCCCTGGGCACAGTGGGTACTTGATGCATTGCAAGAACTCAAATCAGTTTGTGGATTAAATGAATAGATGTAACTTTGGCTACTCTCTCAGTCTGCTCTGGGCAGAGGCCTTGGGCTTGATGGCCATCTTCTTTATGGGAAATGCTGATCCTTGCCCTGTTTCTCCTCCCGGCAGGCTGCCAGCAGGGCTCCAGTGGATGCAGTCTCAGGCCACTGCCAAATGATGTCCCAGCCTGAGGCCAATGAGACATGTTGGGGGTTCTGCATGGTCAACATGGGTGAAAAACTCAAATGCCACTTTACCTTTCTATGATTCTCTGGTGGGAGCAGAGCCAGCTACGGACAGGGAGATTGCCACCATCTACCCAAGCCTTCATTGAGGAGCAGGACTGTAAGTCCTGGATTGATAACAGACAGAACAACAGAAAAAACTGCCCCTCACTCCATGGATGCAAGTGTCCTTCTTGGAGACATCAGGGAAGCTGTGATGTGCTGGGGGATTAGAAAGTGGAGCCCTCTCCTTCTCAGCCCTCAACCTGTCTGTAGGAAACTCGTGGGAAGTAAGAGGTCGTTGAAATTGCTTCTCATTTCTTAACAATATCCACCCTCTCCAGCTTTCTAGAAAGTCTCTCATTTTTGTCCCATACTCTTTGAGATTCCAGAAGGATGAAGAAGGTGGCTTGGAGGCAGGAGGGTAGGGCCAAAACCTGGGAGGGGTAGGAACTTCCCACTCCTTCTGAGATGCTGACTCTGACTGCAGTTTGGGGGCTGTAAGCACCCCCCCCCCCCCAGTGGTATTCCCTTGGCTCTCAGTGTCCTTCCAATGTGAATCCCACTCCTCCTAATTGTTCCAGATTCCTACAGGACCTGCTTATTTTGTTTTTGTGTGATGACTTTTTAAATATTGCATTGATATTTTAATAAAGGAGTAATAAATGTCATCAAAAAATGTTCCATCTTATTTCTGCAAAACTCCCAGAAAGTTCTCTGGCTAGGAGAATGGCTTCTTGGCTCAGTGATCTATCACCAGGCTGGAAGGCACTAGTACCTGATAAATCAGGACTGGGAGCTTTTGACTGGGCCTAGGGCCCCGGCTTGGTTTGATTCCGATCCATGGAGAAAAGAAGGAGGGACTCCCAGGTTTGGAAAAGTCCAGGAGTCTTCTCTAGGTAGAGCTGGAGACAGGATAGAGACCAATATTGCCCTTCTATATTCAGGGAACAGGGCTATTTCCCTTGAAGACCTGGAATGATCCTGGTGACAAGTAGGTCTTAAACTTGTGATCTTTCCAAGATATGATTATTGGAGAAAGAACTCAGGAATTTTAGCTGCACTCATTGTATATTTTTATTTTGTGTTCTCCTTAATAAAAGGATAATCTGATTCAGACGAAAAATGTAGAAGAAATCAATCTTGCCACGCCCTTATTCCATACAAATTCATTCTAATGAACCAGGGAAAGCAAGTGGGGGTATAGCTCAGTGGTAGAGCATTTGACTGCAGATCAAGAGGTCCCCGGTTCAAATCCGGGTGCCCCCTCGCCTGCTTGAATCTTTTGGGTTTTGTTCCCCCATTGACTTTTGAGGAATTGTGTGACGGACTCGAGGCAGGAGAGGAGCAGAACCCCTCCGGGGAGTTACCCTGTGTTTTGCAAGCAGGTGAGGAAGTGATGGACCTTGCGGGTCGCTTAGACTATGTCGAAGGGCGGATTGCAGGGCGGGTGGGGCGAGTTGCTCAGGCCGACCGGGAGGTTATATGGGACAGTCCCCTCAGGTGCAGTAGGGCGCCAGCGGTGCACCCCGGTTGCAAGCGACCCCGACGGCTCTCTGTCAGGAAGGGGGCTGGGCTCGGTCTGGGGAAAGAAGGCCCGGAGACGCCGCGTGAAAGTGTGGGAAGGAGAAAGAAACGCCGAGAAGCAGTAGGGAGCTTCTGCGGGACCAGAGAGTGGGGTCCCGGCCCAGAGGAGCGCCCCCGAAATGAGGACTCTTGAAGGCTCTTGAACGTCTTCTCCTGCACACCCTGTTTCCATTTTTCTTAGACCACCAGTAGGAATCTTTAGCTCAGAGCTTCAGGCAACACACCCTCTGCTTCCATGAAAGTAGTCGGGGGTTTTTATTCTATTTTTTGACAAACATCAGACACTACTTCTTTTTGCTATAGTGCGCGACTGCGCCTGCGCAAGACTAGCACTATGATGCCTCCCTCGCGGGCCGACCGGCAGAGGGGGTATAGCTCAGTGGTAGAGCATTTGACTGCAGATCAAGAGGTCCCCGGTTCAAATCCGGGTGCCCCCTACCTTTTTCTAGGTCCATGTTGCTTCAAAACTGCTTCTAGGCTCTTCCACACCTTTTATGTTACTATGTCTTTCGCCACCTGCCTTTGGGGCAGTCGAGGAGCGGTGGTGAACTCAGGAAGTGGGAGCTTCTAGAGCAGTGGCTTTGTTGATGTGGTCCAGGACACAGCCACCGCACCTGGGTGCTCTTAAGAAACGTCGATCCCCGGGTCTCATCTCATAACCGCTGAATTAGAAACTTGGGGCTGGAGTCCAGGACTCCGTTAAGCGCTCCAGGTGACCCTGATGTACGCTCGAGTTCTACAATCTTAGAGGTTAAAAAATGTGCACCTCGTTTGCTTCTAATATCTCTTAAGCTGCTGTTTCTGCCTGAGCCAAATCAGAGACCTTATAACACGGACCGCGGGCACTCGAGAAACGCACATGTACGGAGACACCGGGGCCGGAACTGGAAGTCCATCCTGGGACCTCTCACTCCAACCTCGAGGTAGGGACGAGCAGCTAGGGACCCTAGTGTCGCGAGCTTGGTAGGCACAGAGCCTGAGCTGGCCGGAAAATGCACGGGAACCACAAAATACTACGTTGCTGCTCCTCGCGTGGCCACTGGAGGGCAGCAGGAAGCCGCAGCTGGAAACTGCAGCTTATTGGATTCCTCGGAGCGTCGGTCAAGTTGGGATTTAAGTTAGACATCACGAAGAACTCACTGGTAGGCAGGCTTACTTCTCCCATTGTAAGTGGAGAGAGGGTTTAGGGCTGGAAGAGGTCGCCTCTGGGATCTTGGGTCCTGAGGAATTGGGAGGAATTGGGATTCTGAGAGATTAAAGAGCCTTTAATTCCCGTTTCCTTCCTCAGGTCTAGTCTACTTGCTTCCTCCAGCCGAACTGTCTCTTGTCCTGTCCACAGCTGTATCCCTCCTTTTAGGGACTCTTCCCCATGGAGCTACACGTCCATAGTCTTCCTCTCTGCAATATTCCTGGTCCTAGACCCCAGCCCTGTAGCAGTCAAGGAGCCCCTCACCCCTCGCCTACCCCGGGCCCCCAGCTCCTTGCCCTCCCCGAAGTAGGTCAGAGGCACCTCCGCGTCCTGACCTGATTCGCTGCTGTCTATTAAACCTCCTAAATTGCGGGTATTTTTATTCTGATATGGAAGAAAAAAAGAAAAACCTCTCCCCAGAGCCTGATGTGCGGTGGGGGACACTGGCCGGTTCTGGAGCTGGCTTTGAAGATTGACTGGCTCTGGCCTCAGGGGCCTCCAGAGCGGCGCGTGCCTCAGTCGCCTTCTTGGGGACAGGGGTCCAGGTTATTTCAGGGTGGGGGTGAGCCAGGCCCCTGCTCCCCAGGGGTGCTGGGCTGGAGGGCAAACCCTGCTGGAAGTGGGGTGTGGAGGGGCACGATGGGAGGCCGCGCAGGGGAGAGGCCGGGTTCTGGCCACCGGGGGAGATGCGCTGGAGTAAAACCTCGGAAACCTACAGACTCCGAGGAGCAGCTCAGAAAGTCGCGCTGCCTGGAAGAGGCGGGTGGCAGGAGCCCACGGCCATGGCAAGGGCGCTTCCTGGGGTCTCCCTCCTGGGACTTCTCTCCCGGCTTTCCCTGGGGGCAGCAAAGGAGAGGAAGGGAGGTAGGGGCCAAGTGGGGGTGCAGGACGGCCGAAGGTGCCTAGGGGATCCTCCAGTCCAGGGTCCCCGCCGGTCCCCTCTGCTTTTGCATCACAAGTAGCTTCCGATCCTTGGGGAGTCTGGGAGGCTGAAGGCCGGGGGAGGCTGCGAGGCTGCGAGGCCGGGGAGGCTGGGAGGCTGGGAGGCTCCGGGCGCGGCGCCCCGCCCCGCCCTCCCCCGCCCCCCGGCTCCGGGTCCCCGGAGGCCGCGGCGCCGCGCTCTGCTCGCCGGCCGCCCGCTCGCGCTCCTGCCGCTCCCGCCTGCGGACCGCGCGCCCCGCTCGGCCCCCTCCTCGCAGCCGCCGCCGCGAGCCGCCCGGGGCGGGTCCCGCCACCACCATGCGGGGCGAGCTGTGGCTCCTGGTGCTGGCGCTCAGGGAGGCGGCCCAGGCGCTGAGCCTCCAGCCCGCGGCAGGTAGGACTGGCCCCGGGGGCCGGCGGGCGGCGGGCGACGTCTAGGAGGGGGACACCGTCCGCGGGAGGCCGGGGCTGCGGCTGGGGCAGGTGGACGGGACCCCGCCGGCCCAACACCGAGGGCTTGAGGGAGGGCGGGGCGCTGGACAGCGATGCCGGACCTCCGCTGTCCTCCTGGACGACGCCCCAGGGACCCCAGGAGGGGCGACTCTGGGAGGCAGTGAACTGTGGCCCCAAAGGGGACAGTGAGGGAGTTCCGAGGGGCCCCTGTCACTCCGGGCGAGGCTGGCTTCTGCGGAGGGGGCCGACGAGGCTCCTCTCCCTTCTCCGCCTCCTCCCGGCTGACCCCGGCCGAGTCGCGGTAGGCGGCCGGGCGGGAGCCGCCAGCGGGAGGGGACCCAGGCTCTCCCTGGGCAAAGGCAGCGGCGGCCTCACTTCTTTTCTCCTACCTGTTTGGAACCCGTCGAGAGGCGGGGGCCCAGGGAGACTCTACTTGTCTCTCCTCCAACCCCCAGCCTGAAGAGTCCCCCTGTCACTCCCTGGTCGCCTTTGGCTCTCAGCTGCCCTGGTTCTAGATAGGGGGCGGGGCTCCCATTTGCACATTCCCTTTCCCCTATACCAGTTTCCCCAGATCATTTCTCCCACCTGGAAGTTCTTTCTGAGCTCTACTTTGAATCCCTCCTGTTATAAAGGAGGCCCATCTTTCAACGTATAATTTATGCTCTCCCTTCTCCTCATGCACCCACACTTTCTCTGGGGTTGAGGACAGGGGTCATTTTGCAGCCAAGCCCCTTGGCAGAGAAAACCAAGAAGAGATCTATGCCATACTGGCTTAGTGATGGAGGGCAATGTCCAGGGGGATGCTGTGTTTTGGTGGCTGTGCCTCAGGGCCGCACAAGCATCAGGCACAGAAGTGTCAGTGACAGTATTCTTGACTTCATGGACCCCGTATGTAGGTGACACTGGATTCCTTTAGAGAAGGGTATGGTGGAGGTGGCTGGGGGGTGATGAGGGGGTGCAGTGGAAGAGAAGTGTCCAGAGGCTGGGGGTGCAGAACCGCACAGGGCATGACCAGAGATTTAGTTTCTAGTCCTATTGTGTCACTTGCTGTGTGGCTTTGGGTGAATTACTTTCTCCCTCTGGGCCTATTTCTGCACTTATAAAGTGAGGTAGTTGACAAAATCCTTGACTCTTGGTTGTGGGATTATGAGGGGTCTTTTTTCTCTTTATTCCCCCCCCCCCCCCCTTTCCTTCTTGGATGTATATAGGTGACATATACATACACACGTACGTATATTATAAACAGGAAGGGATTAGACAGGTTAATTTCTGAGGTCCTTTGCAGCCCCTGCCTGGCACAGTCTTCTGAACTGAGGGTGTGACCAGGTTGATAAATTGGATCGGAACCTCTGCCTGGGTTGTGAGGACCATGGAGTTAGTTGGGTGATAGGGGTGGCCAGATGCAGGCCTGGCTGAGTACCATCTCTTCAAAATTGGGTTGGGATGGGAGACAATGGGGAGGCCAGGAGGAGGGGCAGCAGAGACTTGAATTACTTCTCGAAGGAGAGGACGCCTTGTCTTCTGGACTTTGACAGATTCAGCTGACAAAGTGCACTTTACTGCAGCAGGAGAGATTAGGGTTAGACCCAAGAAGCTGGAGGGAGCCACTGTTGACTCCCAGTGCAGGAGGCAGGGCCTGAAGAGAGGCAGGGGCTGTATTTAAGAGATCCTCTCAATGGAGCACTAGTGTCCCCTGCAGGGGCAGCCAGGAGCAGAACCCCAAGGGGACCAGGCAGCCAGCCCCAGGCTCTGGGGTCTCTGGGCTGGTGGGAGCCCTCGCTGTGGCTACTTTGGTGGAGCCTTGGCACTAGATCTGCTGTGACAGCTGCAGCAGGAGAGATAAGTGACCAGAGGTGTAGCCAGGCAGCAGGGGAGACTAAGAGGCCAACACAGGCAGACAAGCAGACGGACTGAAAGGAAGATGGCTTTGGGGTGCACAGTGTGGATGTGGGCACTGAGGGTCTGGCCTCAGTTGGAACCAGAGGAGCCTACAACAGTGTGGGAGGGACAGGCAGCTGCAGCTAGTATGCGGGAGGCCAGGCCCAGCACAGTCCCACGACCCCAATGACTTCCTCCTTTCTCTGAGCCTCCTTTCTCTAGAATGGAGGTTGGCCCATGCTGTCCCTAGTAACCTGTTTGGCCATGATCTGCTTCCAGCTTCCTTCCTGCCCACTGGGGACTTTTTTTTCCCCTACCCACTGGGGACTTTGAGCAAACTAAAGTCAGACTTCCCACCGCAGCCAGCAGCCCCTCCCCCACCCGCACATCTCCTGTCCTCCCCAGGTCCAGCCCCTTCCAGGATGCTGCCCCTCAGCTGCTCCTCAGCAGGGTCTCAATCAGCTCCAGGGGCCCCTCCCCACAGAGGACCTGTGGGCGCTGCGAATGTGTCTGCCTGTTCACTGTGACCTGCCCAGCACCTGGCACAGTGCCCATCTTACAGATGTGGAAACCGAACCTTAGATTTAGTAAATTTGTCCAGTGTCACAGTCAGGGTCGGCCTCGAGCTTGTCTGAATCCCAGCCTTTACTTGCTGACTGCTGTGGTATGACAGTGCGGTGTTCAGTGAGTCTGTGTCCCAGGGAAAGGGTGGGTCTCCTCCATCCTGTGAACCTCAGGTACTCAGGGCATCCCAATTGCTGCCTCTCCCATCCCATTGTCCCCGTCTGCTCACGGAGCATGTGTTCTGCCAGGCACCTGGCACCTGTCACAGGCACTGAGTGTCGTGATGTACCAGGATCCCAGCTGGGATGGTGCATCTGGCAGCTGGGGTGGGGGGAAGAGGTGCTGGGAGAAGAAGTAACATCTTGGAAGACTTGAGGAGAGAGCAGGGACTTAGCAGGAGAAAGGCTTATTCATGGAGTAGCTTGGTTGAGAAAATGGCCCTGTGGATCCCTGTGGTCAGAGCAGGAGGGCTCCTGCCTGGGGGAGGTGGGGCGTGCAGCGACCCAGTCACAAAAGGCCTCAAATCTGCCTGAGAGACACGGAGACGGGGATGCACTAGAGGGAACTGAGTTTGTCCTCTTGACCATTTGTTCTAGCTAGAGTGTGGGAGACTGGCTGTAGGGCGCAAAGGGTAGAGTCATGGTGGCCTGGACTGTGTGGTGGCCCTGGGGCTGCAATGGCAAGCTTAGGTGATGGGTGGGCTGAGCGTGGTTTGGCCCAGGTTCTGGGTGGTCTAACCTGGCCTCCTGGAGTCAGCTTGAGCCCCGAACCCTGGAGCCAGGTATTGCTGGGGGGTATTGGTGTAGAGGCAGTACCCCCAGACCACACCCCTGTGTTCCAGGGGATGTGGTCCCCCAGGGCACCTCCCAAGGTAGACCCAATGGCACCCAGGGTGGGACCTTTAGGAACCCAGCCCAG